ATCAAAGTTAAGACAATTTTATAAGTGATGATAACAGCCATTTAGTCCATCCCTAAAGAACTGAAGGTCCTGGGAATTTAACCATGCCAATGTAGTCTTTTTTACATTATTAACTGAAGAAAAATGGGTGCCCTTTACAGATTTATTAAGATTAGGAAATGAAGTTAGAAGGAGGAGCCAAATCAGAACTGAAAAGTAGATACCTAATGATTTCCCATCAAAACTGTAACAAAATTACCTTTGTTTGATGAGAGGAATAAGCAAGAGCATTGCCAGGGTAGAGAAGGACTCTCTGGTGAAGCTTTCTTGGGTATTTTTCTGCAAAAGCTTTGGCTAACTTTTGTCAAAACACTCTCATAATAAGCAGATGTTACTGTTTTTTGGCCCTCCAGAAAGTCTACAAGCAAAATGCTTGAGCATCCCCCAAAACTGTTGCCATGACTTTTGCTATTGACTTTTGCTTTGGCTGGACCACTTCCAACTCTTGGTAGCCATTGCTTTGATTGTGCTTTGTCCTTGGGATTAAACTAGTAAAGGCATGTTTCATGTCCTGCTACAATTCTTCGAGAAATGCTTCAGGATCTTGATCTCACTTGCTTAAAATTTCCATTGAAATTTTAGGCTCTGCTTTTGCCTACAGCTGCTCTGGGCACAACAGTTTTGGCACCCATTTGTCAAGTTTGCTCAACTTTAATTTTTCTGTCAGAATTGTGTAAGCTGAACCAGTTGAGATGTCTGTGGTATTGACTATTGTTTCTACTGTTAATTATTGGTTCTCTTCATTTTGGGCACAAATAGGATTAATTTTTTCCTTAAAAATTGATGTGGATGGTCTGATGCTGTGGGCTTCCTCTTTAACATTGCCTCATCCCTTCTTTTTTATTTATTTATTTTGTTTTGTTTTTTAGAGACAGGTTCTCGCTCTGTTGCCCAGGCTGGAGTGCAGTAGTGTCATCATAGCTCACTGCAACCTCCAACTCCTAGGCTCAAGTGATCCTCCTGCCTCCTGAGTAGCTGGAACTATAGGAGCATACCACCAAGCCCAGCTAATTCTTCTTTTTTTTTTGTAGAGATGGGATCTCGCTCTTGCTCAGGCTGGTCTCGAACTCCTGGCCTTGGACAATCCTCCCACTTTGGCCTCCCAAAGTGCTGGGATTATTAGGTGTGAACCATGCAGCACCTGGCTGTGTCATCCCTTTTTATTAAAATGAGTTTACAACTGCTGATTTTTGGGGGGCATTGTCCCCAAAAACTTTTTGTAAGGCATCAATGATTTCACTGTTCTTTCACTCAAGCTTTACCATAAATTTAATGTTTGTTCTTGCTTAAATTTTAGCAGAATTCATGTTGCTCTGATAGGGACTCTTTTCAAACTGATCTCTTATACTTCTTAGTGCCTCAAACTCTAGATCCTGTTCAGACATGTTATTACAAGTTAGTATGAGTTTATTTTGGTACAGAAAATTTTTGAAATCCAAGTACAGTTTTTTCATAATATGTATTTTCCATGAACTATTTGAAGTATCCCCATATTTTGTGGATTTTGCACTGTGTACTTTACTATACAAAACTTTCTCTTCATTCTAGGTTATTTTTGTAGGCCAAATTTCTAGATACAGGAATGATTGGATATGGGTTTTTTGATGGTTTTTTAAATTTTTTCGAGACAGAGTCTCACTCTATTGCCTGGGCTAGAGTGCAGTGGCATCATCATAGTTCACTGTAACCTCAAATTCCTGGGTTTCAAGTGATCCTCCTGCCTCAGCCTCCCAAGTAGCTAGGATTGCAGGCATGTACCACTTAATCCAGCTAATTTTTAAAAAAATATTTTCTGGAGGCAGGGTTCTATATTGCCTAGGTTGGTCTCAAACTCCTGGCCTCCACCCTCCTCAGCTTTCCAAAGTGCTGGGATTACAGGCATGAACCACCATGCCCAGCCATTTTTTGAGGCTCTGATAGAGATTTCCAAATTACTTACTAAAGCCTTGTAATCAGTTAACACTCCCACCTGTCTTATTTTCAGGGCCATGTATGCGAATGACCCCCTAACTTTGTGTAGGAACTGTTCAGTTTGCTTTGGACTTAGGAGGTTCCTGGGACACAGGACTTTCAGTACTAAAACTGGGACAGCCCCAGGCAAATTGGGTAGTTGATAACCCTTCCAAAGAACAACCTACATAACTATTGCTAGAAAAAATAATAAGTTCAAGCTGGGACACCAGCTTTTTCCTGCCTTCAAACTAGAACTGAAATGTCAGCTCTTCCTGTGCCTCAAGCCTGCTGGTCTTTGGATTGGAATTTATACCATCAGCTCTCCTGGGTCTCCAGCTTACCAACTCACCTTTCAGATTGTGGGACTTGTTAGCTTCCAAAATCACATGAACCAATTCCTTTCTCTCTCTCCCTCTCTCAAAAAAAAAAAAAAAAAATTAGCCAAGTGTGGTGGCAAGTGCCTGTAGTCCCAGCTACTTGGGAGGCTTAGGAAAAGAGGATCACCTAAGCTCAGGAGCTCAAGGTTACAGAGAGCTATGACTGTGCCCTGCACTCCAGCTTGGGTGACAGAGTGAGACCTCATCTTAAAAAAAAAAAATAAGGCCAACATCTATTGTTCTTGACTTTTTAATAACGACCATTCTGACAGGGGTAAGGTGGTATCTCATTGTGGTTTTAATTTGCATTTCTCTGATGATTAATGATGTTGAGCATTTTTTCATATGTGCATCATTTGTATATTTTCTTTGGAAAAATGTTTGTTCATGTTATTTGTCTACTTTTTATTGGGGTTATTTGGTTTTTTCTTGCTGAATTGTTTGAGTTCCTTGTAGATTCTGGATATTAGTCCTTTGTTGAATCCACAGTTTGTAAATACTTTCTCCCATTCTGTAGGTCGTCTGTTTATTTGTTTATTATTCCTTTTGCTATGCAGAAGCTTTTTAGTTAGGTCCCATTTTTGTTGTTGTTGCTGTTGTTGCATTTGCATTTGGGGTCTTAATCATAATTCTTTGCCTAGGCCAATCTACAGGTGCTATAGTAACCAAAACAACATGGTACTAGTATAAAAGTAGACATGTAGATCAGCGGAATGGAATAAAGAACCCGAAATAAAGCCATATACTTACAACCAACTGATCTTTGACAAAACAGACAAAAGCAACAAAAGCATTCACTGGGGAAAGTGCACCCTATTCAATAAATTGTGCTGGGAAAATTGGATAGCCATATGCAGAAGAATGGAACTGGATCCCCATCTCTCACCATATACAAAAATTAACTCAAGATGGATTAAAGGCTTAAATGTAAGACCTGAAATCATAAAAATTCTGGAAGAAAACCTAGCATGTTTTTATTTAAATGTTGGATTTTCTAATTTCCTTTTCTGTAAATTGCCTATTTATATTTTTTATCAATTTTTCATTGTAAGTATAGCTTATATAAATTGAAAATGCCTATACTTTTATCCCCTTGTGAGATTTTAATTTTTTTAAAGGATAATTTTTAAACAGGTATAATCATGACTCCATATAAACATAAATGACAGTTTGATCAAAGGTTTTATTTAATTAGTGAGGGAATCAGTAAGATATGCAAACCAGTTCAAGGGAGAATCTGAAGAAGTGACCCATATATGGCCATCAGGACTGCTGAAATGAATTTACTAATAATTCAAAACTTGTCATTAGCTCCAGGGCAAGAATCAGTTACATCTCCATTGGACAAAATATGTTTGTATATTTATGGACAATAATAATTTGCATTATTATCATTTTTTTAATAAATTACAGGGTTGTAAAATAGCACAAAGAACATGAAGGGCATAGTCCCTGCTATAGAATTAGATAATCACAGAAGAGTATATTTTACAACACGCAGCATTCCATCGAAAAGACAATTCAGTAATCTTTTTGTCCTTTACAATTTTTCCTGATACATGGTATTGATTTCTGTAGAAGGACTACCCCATTTTATTCAAGAATGGAACTCTGAAGTCTGGAGGGGAAAGAGAACCTCTTCCCCGGCCAAAAAAATGGCCTATTGCCAACATTCTGGCTCCGGGAGCTAATAACATTCCTGATGCATTCATCGTTGGTGGTCCTTATGAGGAAGAAGAAGGAGAACTCAACCACCCTGAGGTGAGAGA